CATAGCGGTGGAGCAAAGAACTACTGACACGCCAATGCCTCCAACTAAAACCCTTACCTCTACCACTATCGCTCCTACTACAACCACTCCCAATCATCCTACCTCCACCACTACTACCACTATTCCCACTACGACTACTACTACCCCTCCACTAGATATCACCACCACTACGACTACGACTACCCCTCTACCAGATACCACTACGACTATGACTACGACTACCCCTCTACCAGATACCCCTACCACTACGACTACGACTACCCCTCCACAAGATATCCCTACGACTTTGACTATGACTACGACTACCCCTCTTCAAGATACCACTACGACTACCCCTCCACAAGATACCACTACTACTACGACTACCCCTCCACAAGATACCACTACGACTACGACTACCCTTCCACAGGATACCACTACGACTACGACTACCCTTCCACAAGATACCACTACGACTACGACTACCCCTCCTCAAGATACCACTACGACTACGACTACCCCTCCACCTCCTACCACCACTACCCTCCCTTCTGAGCCATCCACCACTCCAGCAACAGGTCTTATCCTCGTCCCTAAGGACGCCCTCCTTGCTAACCACTCCGGCTCCACCCTTGAGAAGTTGAAACCGGGCCGGGGCAAAGAGCTGGCGGCGCAGGGGGCGCTGCGCAGCGGTGTGGTGGCGTTCATGGTCCTGGGCGTGGCCGTACTCACGCTGGCTCTGGCCGTGGGCGGCCGGAAAGCGATGGAGTCCTTCGATAGGCGCCATTACACGAGACTGGAGCTCAACGACCTGCACTACGAGGTCTGAGGGCCCAAAAACAGGCGTAAATTCACATTTGTATCAACGCTGACTCTTTGCTAAGGGCGCCACACTGAGGGGAATCCTGGACTGTGATTGGTCAGAGATGATAGGAGTTGATCTCAGCTGATAAAATGAATGATTTCAGAATGAGGCGTCCACTTATACCACTCCTTACTTTGTATTTTGGATTAATTTAAGCCACCTTCACCCTTCTACGAATGTCCTTCCAGGATTCAGCATGCCTGCTTCTCTTTACTTTCACTCTTTAACCATCAACCAGCATCTAGAAAGTTCAACTACCACCATAAACCAGAGAATTAGAGCTTTAGGTCACCATCAGGCTCCAACAGGCTCCTACCTTCGGCTCTCCGAGGAAGAAAAGTTTGATGGTATTTACAT